GAGGAAAAAATTTAAGCCTCGAGTTGCAATATTGAAAGATTGAATGGGCAAAATACTGAATGATGCAAGAAACATCAAAGGAAGATGGAAGGAATACATAGAGTCATTGTACCAAAAAGAACTGGTCGATCTTCATCTATTTCAGGAGGTGGCATATGTTGAAGAACAAATGGTATTGAAGGAAGAAGTTGAAGCTGCACTGAAGGAACTGGCAAAGAACAAGACTCCAGGAATTGACAGAATACTCACTGAGATGTTTCAACAAAGGGATGTCCTTCTGGAGGCACTCACTCGGTTATACCAAGAGATTTGGAAGACAGTTACCTGGCCAACTGACTTGAAGAGATCCATATTTGTACCCATTCCAAAGAAAGGTAATCCCACAGAATGTGGAAAATATTGAACAATATCATTAATATTGCACACAAGTAAAATCTTACTGAAGATAATTCAAAAACTGTTGCAGCAATATATTGACAGAGAACTTCCAGAAATGAAAACTGGATTCAGAAGAGGACATGGAATGAGGGATATCATTGCTGATGTCAGATGGATCTTGGATCAAAGCAAAGAATACCAGAAAGATGTTTACTTGTATTTTATTGACTATGCAAAAGCATTTGATTGTGTGGATCATAAGTAATTGTGGATAACATTGAGAAGAATGGGAATTCCAGAACACTTAATTGTACTTAGGAGGAACCTGTATATAGACCAGGAGGCTATTGTTTGAACAGAATAAGGGGACACTGCATGGTTTAAAATCAAGAAGGGAGTGCATCAGGGTTATATCCTTTCACCATACTTTTTCAATCTTTTTGCTGAGCAAATAATCCGAGAAGCTGGACTATATGAAGAAGAACATGGCATCAGATTTGGAGGAAGAATCATTAACAACCTGCGATACACTGACAATACAACTTTGCTTGCTGAAAATGAAGATGACTTGAAGAATTTACTGATGAAGATTGAAGAATACAGTCTGCAGTATGGATTACATCTCAATATAAAGATAACAAAAATACTCACAACTGGAACAATAAGCAGCATCATGATAAATGGAGAGAAGTTTGAAGTTGTCAAAAACTTCACATTGGTTGGTTCTACAATTGACGTTAATGAAAGCAGCAGTCAGGACATCAGATGATGTATAGCACTGGGCAAATCAGCTGCAAAGGACCTCTTTCAAGTGCTGAAGAGCAAAGATATCTCCTTGAGGACTAAGTTGCACCTGACACAAACTATGGTATATTCAATTGCCTCATATGCATATGAGTGCTGGACAGTGAATAAAGAAGATCAAAGAAGAATTGATGCTTTTTAGTTGTGGTGCTGGCGAAGAATGCTCAAAGTACCATGGACTGCTAAAAGAACTAACAAATCTGTCCTGGAGGAAGTGCAGCTGGAATGCTCCCTGGAAGCGAGAATGGCCAGACTTCATCTCACCTAATTTTGGTCACGTTATCAGAAGGGGCCATTCACTGGAAAAGGATGTCATGCTTGGTAATATGGAGGGTCGACGAAAGAGGGGAAGGCCCTCAGTGAGATGGATTGACACAGTGACCTTGGCAATGGGCTCAAGTATAGCAAGGATCATGGAGCTGGCGCAGGACTGAGCAGTGTTTTGTTCTGCTGTGCATAGGGTCGCTAGGAGTCGGAGATGACTTGATGGCACCTAACAACAACATGCATTTAAAACAGATTCTGTAAATAGCTACAACACTGTATTGCACTTTTGGTCTACTTTTGGCCTCTTATGAGATCAACAGTTTTTTTAAAATCTTTTTTTATTTGGATTGTTTAGCAAGATGAAAATTGGGACAGGTTGCCACTAACGCCTGTTATGCAGCTTGAACCTTGGTGGCTAATCGCACTATTACTGTGATGGATGAACACTGGGCTGCAATTAGCTGGAGGCTGCAGCCTTCCACTTGGTAGAAACGAGGTCATAGAACAGGGATGGAGAATTGCCACCTAACAAGCAGGTCTGCTTTGTGTGTTGCCCAATGAAACAGTTTGCCACTATAGCATTTAACTCTTTATTCCATATGTTGTGAAGGTATTTGTTCCCTGGAATTAGATTCTGAATTTTACAGAATTTGACTGTTTTGAAGTAAAAAATGAAATCTCTGGATATTCAGTATGAGGAAAAAAGATTATTGTATCTAGTGTATAGTGTGGTTGTGAAGAGCTCAGTCTGAAATCCTAGTACTAGGGTAGTTGGGTGTTAGGTTGTGTGATATACTGCCCAGAAAAAGAGTAATTATCCCTGATACTGTATGGGACTTCACAGTGTAAAAAAGCATGTTTGGAACCACTGCCCTGTGATGTGACTTCATTCTTCCATGGTCAGAGAACTTAATCAACATCACTGAACAGTAATCATATCTGTATTCACTTCTCCCATATGGCCCACTGATGGAGCATAGAGGAGACTCAAAGCACTGCTTGGGAATCAGATAAGTATTGACGAACAGAGGCAGATACAGGGAACGTCAGCACTTGACCATTAGAAGCTCTGGGTATTTTTTGCTCATGTGCATGAGACTTTGTCACCTTAGATACTGATGCTCCTTTCTTAATGTTAGATAGCCTTCCCTTCAGACTAATCTGAGTAGGTGGACAATTTTCCTAATAGATTAGAGACATAAATAATTTCTCTAATGGACTTGCAGTCTGGTGGCCCTGGGGTTGAATCCTTATGTGTCTCTATTAGTTACTAGCTGTAGGACCTTGGCCAAGTCTCTTAGCTTCTCTGAATCTCAGTTTATCTATAACAAATGCAGTATACAATATGGTTAAGAGCACAGGCCTCAGAGCATAACGTCTAGGTTTGAACCCTCATTATGTGTCCCTAGGCAAACTAGAGTGCCTCTTTATATCTTTGTTTCCTTATCTTTAAATGAGGTTGATTATAGTGGATCCCTGAAAAGGATGTTGGGAAGATAAATGACTTAATGCATGTTGAATACTTGGGACAATGACTAGCACATAGTAAATATGACATCAATGTTAGCCAAAATCACATTGGGGTAAAAATCCTTATCTCTCAGGTTTGCTATGCAGACCTTGAAGGTCATCCAAATAAACCTCCTCATTTTATAAGTGGGAAAATTGAGACTCAGAAAGGAGTACCTTGTCTAGAGTCACACTTGATTTAATGGCAGAGTCCACGTCTCCTGATTCCTAGTCCAAAGTTCTGTCTTTTGCACTGCACACAAAAGAGTAATATCTTGACTCTGAGTGGGCCTTTTATTTAATTGTTGGTCCTGTTGCTAGAATGTACTTTCTTAGGACAATGAGCAGCCTTTGAAATAGAAAACATGGGAAAAGACCACCCCCCCACCCCCCCACACCCTGACTTTTGAGGTGGCATATTCACGTAGAAGGACATCCCAGATTCTAGCCAAGGCTGGGATGAAAGATTTTAGGGAACCATA